CCCTGGGCATTTTGGTTATTGAGAAGAAGTTGTTTAAAGTTTTTGACATATTTGACCCCTGTGACCTTGAAAATAGGTGAAGGTCATTAATTTTAACAAACTTGGTAGCCTTTCACCAAAGCATGCAACTGGCTAAATATCATCTCCCTGGGCATTTTGGTTATTAAGAAGAAGTCGTTTAAATTAAAATATTGACGCCGGACGCCGGACGGACGGACGGACGGACGGACGACGGACGCCGCGCCACGGCATAAGCTCACTTGGCACTTTGTGCCAGGTGAGCTAAAAATTATAAGATAGCCAAAAATAAATTTAACAGAACATGCAAAAAATATAAAGAACAACACTGGATAGAATTTTGTAACTCCCTAAATGATAAATCAAACACCAAAATCGTATGGGACAAAATAAAAGCCATTCAAGGCATACCTCCTAAAGAAATGCCCATATTAGGGAAAAATGCAGAAGGTTTTTACTTTTTATTTTTTATTTTATTTTTTTGTAAAACACACACCAAAGAAATAAGGGTAAATATCTGCATACACCATAGGGACCCCTCGGATAATCGCAAACTCCGGCCAAGTTTGACAAGGAAACAAAGTACTGTACCTAACGGAAGCAGAGACGTTTCCCTACTGTCGGGCTCAACCGGCAGTAAGAGACCCGAGGTACATAACAAATATAATATATATACCTACCTATAAGAACAGGAATATATGCAATAAATACACTTTAAAAATAAACAAATATTTTTCTTTTTAAGTACATATATACATTAATATAAGCCACATTGGCCAACTTCGAATCCCCTCAACGACACAAATACATTAGTAAGGATCAACAATCACAGATACAACATCCAGCAAGACACACCATTTCGGACCAAGGAGTCGTCTCCAAATTACAACCCAAGGTAAGGATAGGATAGAATAGACGACTCCAAACCACCCCCCGAGGGAAGGCAACTTACCTCACGCCGACTGAACACTGACTTCCGTCAGTGAGATGAAACCCGTAAGGGCGGATTCATGTAGGCGCGAAACCCGTCATCCATCCATCCTTTATAACCTACCAAAATATAACCCACGTCCACCTTTACACCCCCCACTGCCACAAACATGTGGTGGTGAGGGGATCAATCAGGATAAATAGATAAGTAAATAAAAATCCCTAGATCTCTGTCTGTAATACTCTCACAGAAAAAGGTCGAATCTCAGTAGATATGTATTTAATGACTTATAAACACTGTTAGATGTCAAGAAAACCTCAATAAGAAAGACAAGTAAGTTTGGGTGGAATTGGTAGAACGGATCATAAAATCACAATAGCTGTACTGGTGATAAAGAGATTTCTGCTCAGCATTGACAGGCATGGCACATATAGTGGAAACATTGCTTAGGTGATGATGGAGAGTTCCAAGGACTCTAGTTTAGGTTATACATTTTTCTTGTGCTTCATTCCATGATGACATTACAGTATTACTAACAAACTCCTGTCAAATACTGCCTTGTATTGTACAGATCAGAATATCAACTCAACAATTAAAGATCATCAACGGAATTCTTACATTTAACACTAACAAACTCATGTCAAACACTGCCTTGAACATACACAGCAGAATATCAACTCAACAATTATAGATCATCAACAGAATTCTTACATTACTAACAAACTTCAACACAATTTCCTGCATAACACTGTACTCACTGTGTTCCGGGTTTCACTCCATCCCAAACCCAGACACTTGAAGACTGTGTGTGATGTCTGGCATCCCAAACCAAGACACTTGAAGACTGTGTGTGATGTCTGGCACCCCAAACCCAGACACTTGAAGACTGTGTGTGAAGTCTGGCATCCCAAACCCAGACACTTGAAGACTAATAAAATTACTGAAAATAAAAGAAAATCAGGCACACAATACAGATCTAGACATTTTAATGACTAAACAGTAAGTTATACATGCAGGAATTATTTTATATACAGATGGGGGACACAGGAACGTGGATCGGGGTGAATAAAGATGATAATAACCAATATTGATATGTATGGAGATTCGCATTGGAAAAGACTTGAGAAGATAATGCAAAAATAATATAAGATAAGCATATGAATGAGATATTAATGGCTATATTAACTTCATGAGTATAGATGTAGCATCATTAATGAAAAATAATTTTTATATTACAGGTACACTACATCTTTTAACTATTTTCATGAATTTCATAACTGCAAATAAGCAACTATTAAAAAAACACCACAAAACAACAACAACAACAACAACAACAACAACAGTATGTACAGCTTGAGTATGCACACAAGAGCCTGCATGAATCAGTGCGCCCTCAGGTACTAGCCTCGTCTGCCAACACACACTAAATTATGTTTATTTAAAATCCCAACATCGACCACCTTTAATAAATAATACTTACATTATTTATTTTTTATAGATGTCTTGGATGTAACTTAATTATGATATAGAAAATAAAGATAACAGTGCATTGGATCCAGACTTCTAGCACTGAAATATGTTGAGTTCTCAAATGAAATAATCAGATCTCAGAATTTGAAAACAGTGAACAATGCAAGTTCACTGGTTGAACAATGTTAACATTCAAGGGTCCAAAATTTAGTTGTCTCCCTCCAAAATTGGGATTGTCGGCAAGTATGGAAACTGCACTGTATGTATCCTTTAGATATACATTATACCTAATTCCTGTAGGAACTCTTAGGCTATCTAAAACAGAGATTTAATTATATCGTTATAAATCTCCGATTTAGATAAGAGTTCCAACAGGAATTGCATTATACCATGCAGTTGTGCAGAAATTATGCATGTTTTGCATTCCCACCATATATAGTTTAGAGCAGGAAATGTGTTCATTTTTTTCAATAATGTCTAATTACATGTAGAAAAGGACCCAATGTAATATGTGTTAGGTTCAGAATATCAGAGAACTGATCCAAATGATTTGATGTACATTATAGCAAAATGATAATAGATTCTAATTTGAATGATGCATGATAATTATATTGCTGAAGTTAAGTGCACTGGTAAAACTTTAGACTCATGGTATTGATCCAAACATAATGCATGTTTAAACAATGGTATTGAATGAAAAGTTATAGTTTATTATTTAGCAATTTTTGTTTTTACTTTTGGGTAGCTGTTTGGTACCTTACTTTCTGAAACCATCGAATTTCAATTTCATCATAATTATTCCAACCAAGTTTTAATTATTTCCTGCTTAATGTGGACAAATTGTACCAAAAAGGGTTCTTTCCTTTATAATTGTTTAAGCAATAGTAAACTTTACTCTCCCCACGGACTTAAGACTACTTCCGTGCTCTCCCTAAGAGAAAAATAAAATAAAAATAACAATTCAGATAAAGCAGATAGGGGCCTTTTCATCCATGTGGAGAATAAGATTCTAGTACATCCTAGTGCAAGGAAAAAGACTTTTGAAGTTTTAGCCAATTTTCCATTTTTGGGCCCCACCCCTCCAGCTTCAGGAGGGAGGCAGGATCCTATTTTCTCATAACTACTGGTAATTGCCATCTCATCATAATTTTTCCAACTAAATTTGAATTATTTCCTGCTTTAAAAATTGACAAAATATATAAAAAAAAAGTGCTATTTTCCAAAGTCTAGTAAACTTTAATTACCTCAGCTAAATCCCAAAGGGAGAACTGATGACCAGGAGTAAATAAATTTACAATTCAGATAAATCAACTTAAAGGACCTTTTCATTCATGAAGTACTTTTGATTCTGGTACACCTGAGTCCGAGGAAGAGGCGTTTTGAAATTTTAGTCAAATTTCCCCCTTTGAACCGTCCCTCCAGCCCAAGGGGCAAGGTAGGATCTTATTTCCTTATATCGCTGTCGTCATTATACTAATCAAACCAAGTTTGAATTATTTCCTGAAATTTACAATTTAGACAAAGCACCTAAGCATCTTTTCATTCACAAAAGACTGTTAATTCTAGTACATCTGAATCTGGAGAAGAAGATTTCTGAAGCATTGGTCACCTCAGGGAATGGGGCAGGAATGCCAAATTTAAAGTTTGATAACCTCTTCCACCAATGATGTTTCTTAGTAAGTTTGAAAGAAATGCATGAATTCACTGCTTCCTAAGAAGAATTTTAAAAACAATATAAGTTTGGAAGAAAAGTGTTTAGGTCACTTGAGCCTTTGTTCCTGTATTATACTGTATGGTAAATATTCCTCCATCAATACTTGAAAAATCACTAAAACTGATGGATTGTGCTCCCCAAAAAAGTCATTTCGGACTGGAATAGAGGTTACATGATACAATGTATCTTTACCTGAAATTTATCATGCCTGGCACTTTTATTATCTCTGAGTTTACGTATGTAACTGTGTAAAGTGAATGAACCAAAGAGGTATGCAACGATTATCTCAAGAAAAAGGCCAACATGCTATGTTGACATTTTGATATTTTACTCCCAAGATGTTGCTCTTGACCAGGTTAGAACGAAATTTGGCTATCGGATATTGGGAATTTGTTATGAAATTAAATGTTACATCAATACAATGAAACATATTGTAAAATTAATTGTGGTCTTAGTCCGTATTCAACGACTTTATTCTCAATCATTCAGACTCTTTTCTTCATTGATACAACTAGAGAAAGCGTCTTGATGACCAAAACTTAGCTATACTCCGGAATGAAAACGGCGCGCGCATTATTGAATTTACTTCCGTCCTAATTTACCGCACATGTCAGAAAATTTGAAATCGGACGCTTCACAAATCGGGACTGGTTATAAAGAAGACAATGCATTCCCCGAGTGTTGATGCGTATGGTAAGAAGGATCTTTTATAACACGGAGTCAATTCAGGATAACAAATTTTTAGAAACGTACACACCTGTGTTATTTTGAATGAATTAATGTTTAGTTTCATTTCTGTCTGATATATATGAATGTCATTCCCAAAATGGCTTTAGTGAAAAAAGTTGGACGATATAATGTTCTGAAGGGCGAAGTGGGATTCATCCGCATGTGTGTGGTAATAGAGACATCAGACATATACATATATTACAGTACGTCTGTAGTTGTAAGGGGTGGGGGCTTGGTAGCACAACAAAATGTTTAAAATTGCCCAACACTTTATCCCAAAAGGACCTGTGCACAGGAATCCTACACAAGAATCGTCATTGATTGGAAAAAGATACAAACTGTCAGACAGTTGACTCCTTCATAGTTTTTTTTGTTTATCTTACAATTAAATATTAATAGTTTTTATCTATGACTCACTATTTCCCTTTTGGAGATAATTAAGCTTCAACTTAAAGAAGTAGGTCAGGACTTGGTAGAAGTCAAGACCCTGTGCCTGAATCCGTTATAATTAGCAGAAGTATATATCCTTTAGGTCAATTCAATTGTATGGACTAGTGAATAACTACTCCGCCGGCATGCATCCTCTTCCTCATATACATCAACGACTTCCCCGAATACATATCACACAGTACACTAAGACTTTTTGCAGACAACAGCATACTATACAAAACAATCAACAACAAAGACGACACGAAAAAACTACAAGTAGATTTAGATGCAGCTAGTAAATGGAATTTACACCCAGACAAATGCACTAAATCACCAAAACGCACACAAATTAAACACCAATACACACTCCATGACCACACACTAGAATATGTAACTTCAAACAAATATTTAGGCATCACACTGCAAAACAACTTAAAATGGGACAAACACATTAACAACATCACATCAAATGCAAATAAATCACTAGACTTTCTGAAACGCAACCTAAATATAAATTCACCACACATAAAAGAACATGCATACAAGGCCATTGTAAGACCAAAACTCGAATACTGCTCTTCAGTTTGGGACCCACATTATACAAATAACATATACCAATTAGAAAAAGTACAACGAAGAGCAGCACGATATGTCCTAAACAAATACCATAACACAAGCTCAGTCACAGATATGATACATATAACTTGCAATGACCAACACTACACACACGCAGAACAAGAACACACAGTATTCTTCTCTACAAAATAATACACCAACAAGTAGCAATACACACTAACAATCTCATCCCGGCAGACACCAGAACACGTCAAGGACACGACCTTAGTTACAGACATATCTACACATCCAAAGACACATACAGACACTCATTCTTTCCATACACCATAACACATGTACAGTGGAACCTCCTACCCAAAACAATAATCCAATCAGAAACACTAGCAGAATTCAGGACATGCACCACATATAACATAATCGAACACAGTGCAAAATAATCAGATCAGTGATTTTTTAGTGAGATTTGGTCTGAAATAGTAAGACTTTTTCTCTGAATTGGTGAGAAATTTGTGAGACACAAAATTTTAAGGAGGTCAGGTTTACACATGACATACGGTCCGGATATAGCTACGGTATCAACATTTAAAAGTAAATAATACTTGGATCAAAGACAAAAATAATAAAAATTAAAAGAAGTAAAAATTCAAGATAATGTTCTTGTTGACCCAGGTTAGGAAAAGAAATATATATATATATCTCAAAACAATAACAATATTTAATCTTTATTTGGTGAAAATAAATATTAAACGCCATTAGTTTTATTTTTTATATATTTAAGCATTGAACTGTTTTTGTATGGTATTTATGATCTATTTGAATGACACAGCTTTGGAAGCAAACAAATCATAATGCGCTAGCACGCATTATGATTTGTTTGCTTGCAAAGCTGTGTCATTCAAATAGATCATAAATACCATACAAAAACAGTTCAATACTTATATTTACGTTTTCTCTGCCTCTTATGTTCTTTTTTAACTTATAATTTATATTTAAAATTAAAAATGCCCGCCTTATCGACAGTCCACACAATTTCGTTCAATAGTTTGAACAGCGTATTGTCGCGTGCTGATTGGCAAACAAAGTAGTACTTTGAAATTTTAACAAACACTTCAATTTTATTCCACAATTCAGTATCAATACAATTGCGTATGATATGTTTATAGTGTGATTTAAGTTTATCAATAGAACTCTGAGCTGAAAGTTATATTTGAAATTGTTTCAATTTTTCCCCGGAGCAAATTTCGCGCATGGACAAATACAGTGAACACCGTAAATCCGACCTTGCCCTCCACGAGGGAGTTATTTTTGGAAGTTAATTCGAACTTTTCTCTCAATCCCATCCCGACAACGAGAGAATGAATTCTGGATTCAGTGTCTGCAGTGTCCAGTTTCAATTTTATAGTCACGACTTACATTTCCATTTCGGTAAACCATGTTTTCAGTTGAAATGAAATAACAGCTCTTGTGTTGCTGTTTAATGTTTATACCCACTGTCAATACATATTAATTAGCAACTAGCCCCCACTGGATGGGGGATCCCTGATATAATTGCTTAAGATCTAGAGTTCACACATCGGTGAGCATGACACCAAGCCATGCACCGTGAATTGGCCAGGCTTGTAATTTGAGTGGCTGGCCTGTGACTAGACCTCAGTGACCAAGGTCAGTGTGAATCCATGTAGCTATTGTTTATTCACTAATAAGATTGACCAAACTTAGTTTCTTTTCGTGAGACTGATTGAAATTTGTGAGAAATATGTTGCGCGCCGTGATGAATTTTAAAGAAGTAATTTCTGTGAGTCTCACATCGTTAGATATATGGCACGTATGCACCGGCAAAACAACCCCAAGTAATAAATCTGTTGGATATTGGACAATTTTCCATTAAAGCATGTTGTTAAGAAGGAAAATGTGTTGTCGACTTGTAGTAAATTGTTTCATGAGACTAGAAAAAAAGAGGTCCATGAAACTGATTTTGTTTTGTTTTCTATTTACTTATAGGGGCTGGAGGGTTCAACCCTGGGTCGTTCTCTATGGAGCCAATGATGATGGGATCTCCAGGAAGTCCTACGAGTCCCACTGGGGGTCATCAGTCTCAGTTCCTACCTAGCTTCCTCCTTGGGGACCAAACACCTCACTCTGTATCCGTAAGTATCACCATATGATTGTGATTGTAACTATTGAGAGACGGTTTCAAACTTCAAATTTATAGTGTTTGAGAAGTGGTTGCAGTGCGTTTATTGCTGACAATGTTTTTCGAATCTTACATATTTTTAACAGTTGAAAAAAATTATATTAAGAAGATTCATTTTCACTTACAATACCACATTGATTAATGTCATACTTCCTTTTGTATTCAGAATGAGATTCATCAGTTAGGTAGGAATAATAAATGTTGAAGTTTGTTTTTAACACGATGACAAAGTATTGAAAGTAACAGTGATTGAAAACTTCATTTGCGAGCTTTCGAAAACATCGGATACCTTTGTCAAGTAAAAGAGTTTTTAATGTATTTACTTAAAACTTTACATACACATTGTATCTGTAGCCTGGTCCGAGGATATGGTCAGCTGCCAGTCCCAGTCCTCCAAAGTCAGCATCCAGAGCTGGTCTCATGTCCAGCAGTTTCAACACTCCAGGGATGAGGTTTGTTTATCTCATACAACGCGGTGTAACACAGGCCATGACGGCAGACAGCATAAAAAAAGTAGCTTTTGAATGTTTAAGGAAGAGATATGGAATATCCTTAGAGCTCAGAAGGGTCTCGCTAAGGCCCCCATACCAAAATGCAGTGAAGTAATTATTAAAATTTGTTAAGTGTGTTTTTTGTTTAAGATTTAATAGTTTTATTGTAGCCAAGAAGACTTTATAATATTTTAAATTGATTTTTTTTAAAAAGGAAACATGTCAATTGTGAATGTGATATATCACAGATCATGTGATTTATGTTGGCTTGATTGCATTTTTAAGTTGTCTGGCTAGCAGGTTTTTATTTTGGGTTAGTGGATTATTATGAGTCTATTATCTTGAAAAAAAGTTTTATTCAATCCTTATTAGGACATGCTTATTAGGTGAAATAAAGTATATGTTTATATACAAGTATAGGTGTTTATAGTAGTTTTAGGAATCTGTAGATCAATTTAGAGTACCAATGCTTAATGAAATCAGTGCAGTATTGTAGTTGAATTTGTGATAATTTTAGCCGAGGAGAGGTTCTTAGACCAAAGGAGAAAGTTGGTGCCCCACCCACAAAAAGTTTAATGAGCCATGCTAGCCCAGCGGGGAGTACACCAGCACATTTTGGGACACCAAATATTCATCAGGTTTGTTGATAAAAGGATTCATCTGTTTGTAAATCTAAATTTCTTGTTGTCTTGATTAAGACTGTACAAGTTCTTGGTGTAGAAAATATTATTTCAAGAATATCTTGCATATTATTAATGGGGCACTTTTAAATGAAGGATCTTTGCATTGTACAAGGGTGAAATTATGAAAATTGAATAATGCGTAACATTTTTTGCTGCTTGGTCTGCAATTGCTCAAGGTTGCATTACGACAAAAACTTTTTTCTGTTAGTTTTTGTCTCATTCAAATAAAGAATCTTAAAAAAAATCAATAAAAAAAATCCATCACCTGCAATTTAATAGTAAATAATCCCTATTCTAATATTATTTGTAGTTACTGATAGGGGGGGGGGGGGGGGGGGGGTGTTAAAATATTTCATTGTTTCAAGGAAATATTGTTGTCAGACGGTGTGCTGGGAGCCAAATAAACCTTTTTGGGCCCGCCCCTCAGCCCCCTGGGTTTCATGAAAGTATTGATGGATGGATCAAGTAAGGAACGCTAAATATCAATGTGGATTGACATTTTTATCACTAGTACAGATTTGACTATTGATAGAAGAAACACATTACAGTCAGTTCAGGAATAAATATTTGGTGAGAGGGGAAAAGCAGAATGTTTAAAACATTGTCATATGTTTTATTTTCGGCAGATGTCTCGGGCAATGCATACACCCGGATCAATGAGTGGTACACCAGCACCACCTACTTTAGGTAAGGGGAACTAACCAAGCACCACCTACTGTAGGAAAGAGGAACTAACCAAGCACCATCTACTGTATGTAAGAGGAACTAACCAAGCACCTCCTACTTTAGGTAAGGGGAACTAACAAAGCACGACCTACTGTAGGTAAGGGGAACTAACCAAGCACCACCTACTTTAGGTAAGGCGAACTAACCAAGCACCACCTACTTTAGGTAAGGGGAACTAACCAAGTACCACCTACTGTAGGTAAGAGGAACTAACCAAGCACCATCTACTGTAGGTAAGAGGAACTAACCAAGCACCACCTACTTTAGGTAAGGGGAACTTACCAAGCACCACCTACTTTAGGTAAGAGGAACTAACCAAGCACCACCTACTTTAGGTAAGGGGAACTAACCAAGCACCACCTACTGTAGGTAAGAGGAACTAACCTAGCACCACCT